CTCTAGCAATAAAGGAAATGCAAATTAAAACCACACTAAGATTCCACCTCACCCCTGTTAGAATAGCCATCATAGCAACACCACCAACAACAGGTGTTGGCGAGGATGCGGGGAAAAAGGAACCCTCTTACACTGTTGGTGGGAATGTAAACTAGTACAACCACTCTGGAAAAAAATTTGGAGGCTACTTAAAAAGCTAACATTGATCTACCATTTGATCCAGCAATACCACTCTTGGGGATATACCCAAAAGACTGTGACACAGGTTACTCCAGAGGCACCTGCACACCCATGTTTATTGCGCACTATTCACAATAGCCAAGTTATGGAAACAGCCAAGATGCCCCACCACTGACGAATGGATTAAGAAAATGTGGTATCTATACACAATGGAATTTTATGCAGCCATGAAGAAGAACGAAATGTTATCATTCGCTGGTAAATGGATGGAATTGGAGAACATCATTCTGAGTGAGGTTAGCCTGGCCCAAAAGACCAAAAATCGTATGTTCTCCCTCATATGTGGACATTAGATCAAGGGCAAACACAACAAGGGGATTGGACTTTGAGCACATGATAAAAGCGAGAGCACACAAGGGAGGGGTGAGGATAGGTAAGACACCTAAAAAATAGCTAGCATTTGTTGCCCTTAACACAGAGAAACTAAAGCAGATACCTTAAAAGCAACTGAGGCCAATAGGAAAAGGGGACCAGGAACTAGAGAAAAGGTTAGATCAAAAAGAATTAACCTAGAAGGTAACACCCACGCACAGGAAATCAATGTGAGTCAATGCCCTGTATAGCTATCCTTATCTCAACCAGCAAAAACCCTTGTTCCTTCCTATTATTGCTTATACTCTCTCTACAACAAAATTAGAGATAAGGGCAAAATAGTTTCTGCTGGGTATTGAGGGGGGGGGGAGAGGGAGGGGGGAGTGGGTGGTAAGGGAGGGGGTGGGGCAGGGGGAGAAATGAACCAAGCCTTGTATGCACATATGAATAAATAAATAAAGAAAAAAAATAAAGAAAAATAAAATAAACAAATAAAGAAACAATTAATAAAAAAAAAAAAAAATAAAAAAACCTCTGTTACTATAATCATTTTATTTCTCTAGCCCCTTAGATAATGTATCCCAATCTCTGTCCACATAGCATCAAAATGCCAGCCTTTGCAACTAGCCAATCAGTGGAACTATCCAAAGAACTGATTTAGTTTACAAATAATTAGATATTTCTCTATTACATAAGTAGTTTGTATTGATCAAAGTGCTTAGCTCATGTCCTGAGAAATATGAAAGCCCTGTTCTTACCTATCATTTAACTCAACATCATATCTTTAAGGTTGGATTGACTTATTAAATGTCAGCACAACCAGATTTGAGAAAGCTATTTTCTCTAACATGGTATGGTTTCCACCAAAGCTCTATAACACCAAATATGGCATATTTTCATTGTAAAATAGTTCTGTGGTTAATATTTGCTAAATATCTATATAAGCTTAAGCAAGACTGATAGACTAAAATTTATTTTATCCAGTTTAATAATTGTTATAACATTCTGCCTTATTGAATATTGAAGTAGAGGTAGACAATTCCTAACAATTTTATGTCTTAAAGAATGATTAATTTCCTTTTTTACATACCTTATGCATCTTCATCTTCTTTTTGTTTTTATTTTGATTTTTTGTTACTCAAAAATTAGTTTTTGTTAGCTCTCTGATTCTGTGCTTTTCCTTCAACATATACACACATGTATAATACAAACACTTTTCTTAGCATAAAATCTAAATTGTATAATTTTTATCATTTATTGAATATATGCTATGTTTCTGGCACCATATAAAACACTTTCAATGTAGTATTTTATAAGTTCCTCACAAGAATTCCATGAAACAAGGATATGTTATCACAGATGAGACTATAAAACCTTAAAATAGTATCCAAACTCACATAACCAGTGTTATAGAGGATGTATCTGTTATAAATGTAATGCCTTTGAACATTATACATTGTTTTTTGTATGGGAACAGTTTTTCCTTTGTCAAGTGGTATGATATTAAGCTTTGTCAGTAGAGGGTGCCAAAGTGACAATGGAGGAGGTAAAGGTTTCTCTCTTCTGATGCACTTTTACTTCTTTTGCATACCTGTGACTCAAAGGATGCCCACTAGAACTAATCTCATCACCCTGCCTCCCAGAGTTTCACTAGCACACTGTATGGACAGCATCTTATAAGTTCTAAAGAGGCCTAAGTCACAAGTTCAGCATGGGTGTCAAACCTGTAGGCAGCTACCTAAAGCAATATCTTATTTTCCAAAATTCAGCAGCATGCTGGCGGAGTGGCTCAAGTAAGAGTGCATGAGACCTTGATTTCAAACCCCAATTCCACCAAAAAATATTATCAAAATTCAGCAACAGGTAACTTCTCAATCAGTCTAATGTGTTTCCAGTTTCCCAGAAAATTTCAACAGTATCCATGACAAGCCTACTTCCCTGTGAATTCTGTCAACACTCTAGTCCAATATTCCTTTCACAGTAGCTTCAATCTACTGAGTATAGACTAGTTCTTGGCAGGGTTAACCAGGCAAACTCCTTTGTCAGGTCAAGGGCTACATAAACACTTGATCCAAAAAGGTTTAAATCCAGTCCTGGGTGGAGCAACTCCCTTTGAAAGTCATGTTCTTCCTTGGATTCTATACCTCAGACACAGGGAAATTCTTCAGAGTTCTCTTTCATTCTTTCCTTAAGAACTTAATTCCCAGGAAAAAATGTTTTTTTTTTTTTTATTTTTCTTTTATTATTCATATGTGCATACAAGGCTTGGTTCATTTCTCCCCCCTGCCCCCACCCCTCCCTTACCACCACTCCACCCCTCCTGCTCCCCCCCCCCCTCAATACCAGCAGAAACTATTTTGCCCTTATCTCTAATTTTTGTTGTAGAGAGAGTATAAGCAATAATAGGAAGGAACAAGGGTTTTGCTGGTGTTGAGATAAGGATAGCTATACAGGGCATTGACTCACATGATTTCCTGTGCAGTGTGTGTTACCTTCTAGGTTAATTCTTTTGATCTAACCTTTTCTCTAGTACCTGGTCCCCTTTTCCTATTGGCCTCAGTTGCTTTTAAGTATCTGCTTTAGTTTCTCTGCTTAAGGGCAAACAAATGCTAGCTAGTTTTTAGGTGTCTTACCTATCCTCACCCCTCCCTTGTGTGCTGCTTTTATCATGTGCTCATAGTCCAATCCCCTTGTTGTGTTTGCCCTTGATCTAATGTCCACATATGAGGGAGAACATACGATTTTTGGTCTTTTGGGCCAGGCTAACCTCACTCAGAATGATGTTCTCCAATTCCATCCATTTACCAGCGAATGATAACATTTGTTCTTCTTCATGGCTGCATATAAAATTCCATTGTGTATAGATACCACATTTTCTTAATCCATTCGTCAGTGGTGGGGCATCTTGGCTGTTCCATAACTTGGCTATTGTGAATAGTGCCGCAATAAACATGTTGTGCAGGTGCCTCTGAGTAACAGTCTTTTGGGTATATCCCCAAGAGTGGTATTGCTGGATCAAATGGTAGATCGATGTCCAGCTTTTTAAGTAGCCTCCAAATTTTTTTCCAGAGTGGTTGTACTAGTCTACATTCCCACCAACAGTGTAAGAGGGTTCCAGGAAAAAATGTTAATACTTTCTTCTTTGTATTAAACCTTGCCTGTTCAAGTAACCATGTAGTTTCTGTGCCCTTTCTGGACCCTATCAATACAAGAGTTTGCTCCAACCCAAGTTTTTCTGATTCAAAATTCCATACTTTAATCATGTCTACCCCTCTATTACTATCGTCAACATTGTAATTGCATCAATAGGAATAATGCCAAGATTTGACTAAGGAGTAGTCTATTCTTAAGGTCAGAACAGATGGACACTGGAAAATGTTAAATTTGGCAGTTGGACCTTTTCACAGCTTAGCCGAGACAAGTTTCACAATGTGACATTTGATTTTTTAACTTAAACTATAACTTCTCATTGCCTTCAATTTCATTTGAATTATAATGACCTTCAATTTACTTGCTAAGGATTCCCCTCCCAATTTATAAGCAGGTTAAGACTTCTCCCCCACTTACACAGGAAAATGTTTCCTGCATGTTTCCTTAGTGACCACCCTAGATAGTCTCTTTTTCCCTACATCCCTTATATGGATATTGTTGGTTATATCTTACACACAGTGGGAAAGCAATGTATTTTTGCTTTCCTAATTAATGTCTCAAAGTGATGAAGTATAAGGCTTTTTCTAACTTATTAGCCTACTGAATTTCACATGTAGTTGATGAACTTAGTAAGTGGATATGAAAGTAAATATCATTATGAAATAGTTTTCTTCTCTATAAATAATCCATTTTTAATTTAGGAGAGAGTATCTAAAATATTGTTTGACTAGCAGAAACATGTCATTCGGTTTTAAATTTGGTTTGAAAAATCATCCCACATTTGTGAATGCTGAAATATGAAAATCTCTTCATTATATATAAATAAGATTATTTTGCATTATTTCGTAAGAATAAATAATATACAGAGTGTGAATGGAATCACATGTATTAACAGATTACATTTCACTCTAATAAATGTTAGTGGATTAAAGAGAAAAAAAGGGAAAAAAAAGAGAAAGGGAAGTTTGCATGTGAGAAGGCTACCTATCTATACCAGTTTTTCTTGGGTAAGTAAATCAACTCTATGTTCAGATAAGATATGACTTTTCATGCTATTTGTTTATAGACCTGAGCATGTGTGTGTTCTTTGTCTCAGTTTGCTATTAAAAAATCTTACTTCTTAATGTTCTTGTATGGGAAATTATAAAATATATATGTAAAGAATTTAGCAAGTGTTTGGCACTGCTTTAAAACCTGAAACTGAACTAATATTGAAACTATTCATCATTCAGTCTGAGAGGCTGTTATCTGCTCTATATTTATGCAAATTAGATGAGATTTTTCACTTATCTTCATACCTCTTCATGTAGTTCCCTCCAACGAGAATTAAATGTCTCAAGTTCCTCATTGATCAGTTCATCCATGACTCCTCCATCTGTTAAGGTCTGTGCCAATATGCGAATCTGATTTGGGTTATCCTCTGAATGTTGCATCAAATTTTCAAGAGACTGAAACACATTGCAATAATTAGTATTTTGTTCTTTTCCTAAATACATTGAATTAACACAAAATGTCCAGTAGCTTTTGATTTATATATGATTAAG